ACACAGGAGATAATACCCCCGGCCCCCCCCCCGGGGACCCTCCATCCTGAACCCCACCGCAGGAGATGGTATCCCCCCCCCTAGACTCCATTCTGGATCCCACTACAAGAGGAGGATACCTCACACCCCATCCTGGTGTTGGAAATACAACAGTTTCTGGTGATGTAGTATCGTCTTCTGAGCACTAGATGGCGTGCTAACCTAGTCTATGTCAGTCTTCTATATGTGTACTTATACGTTTCCTGTTTGATGCTGTATTCCAGTATACATGTATGTAATGTTCTTCTACGACAGTAAAACCTAATTCAGCGTTCCTCAATATCTCAGAGCTTCATCTAAAACACATAACCAACACCCACATCACACAACTGTATGTGATTATAAGAGACACCCCCCACAATGTGACAATAGGAGTGCAGACATTGGTTATTAGCAGTTCCGTCTGTGGGATGTCACACATATACACACCTTGTTCATGACCACGATGAAGGGCAGTTTGGTCTTATACATGATGCTGAAAGAGAAGGAAGATACATCAGAAATATACCAGTGATGTCACATCTACAGCCCCCCCCCCTCCCCCACGCCACCATTCCAGCACCCACCCCCCTGCCCAGCACAGTGTACACCCCCCACATCACCACACTCACCTGCAGGCATACAGCATGTTGGACATGAATGTCACCGGATTGACGCTGCGCGATGTATCCATCACATACACCACCACAGTGGGGAAGGAGGAGGCCTGGAGAAGAGTGAACCATCAGCGGGAGGACAAAACAAAAAAATCACCAATAACAGAGCAGGAACCAAAGAGACCATCTACCGGGGTAGCCAGCTATGGACACTGTGTGCTAAACGCCCTAAAAATGTCCTCAAAGTACACAGGACCTGCATAGAAGGCTCTGGAATCCTCCCTCACACACCTGCCGAAAGGTGGGACATTGCTGTGTAAATACAGGAGCTGCTATCAAAGAAAACCATCCGACCCACAGATACAAAGTAACCATCCCTCTCTGATCAATGTTTATATACAATGTTACTTTGTATCTCTCTATCTTCCTCTGATCAATGTTTATAAACAATGTTACTTTGTATCTCTCTATCTCCCTCTGATCAATGTTTATATACAATGTTACTTTGTACCTCTCTATCTCCCTCTGATCAATGTTTATATACAATGTTACTTTGTATCTCTCTATGTCCCTCTGATCAATGTTTATATACAATGTTACTTTGTATTTCTCTATCCCCCCTCTGATCAATGTTTATAAACAATGTTACTTTGTATCTCTCTATCTCACTCTGATCAATGTTTATATACAATGTTACTTTGTATCTCTCTATCTCCCCTCTGATCAATGTTACTTTGTATCTCTCTATCTCCCTCTGATCAATCTTTATATACAATGTTACTTTGTATCTCGCTATCTCCCTCTGATCAATGTTTATACACAATGTTACTTTGTATCTCTCTATCTCGCTCTGATCAATGTTTATATACAATGTTACTTTGTATCTCTCTATCATAGTGGTCACATGACTGCAGAAGCTCCTTTGTATCTATGATAACGCAGGCAGGGGGTGTGATCCCATTGGCAGCATCCATCCAGGACCAGTGATGGATTTGTTTCATCATCCATGGACACCAGGAGCCGCTGCTGATCACTGCTGGAAGGGGGCGTGTCAGCCTGTGATGTCACAGCATGACTTCATAGGTGCTGCTCCCATTACAGGACCCACTGCACATATCTGTCTGCACTACCACAGGTCTGGCAGGAAGGGGACACAATACAGAGGACTTGGCAGGATCGGCGACTTATTATACTTCATTTTGCAGAACTAAGTATAGAGAGACACATTCAGCATCGGAGGATCTCCCGGGGACTCACCAAGGCTTCTGTAATAATGGCCCCAGAGGCTGACCAGGTGAAGACTTCGATCTGTCCCGGAGTGTCAATCACAACATACCTAAAAGGACGGGGAGAGGTGAACAGCGTCAAATCTGAAAACTCAAGCAGCTCCGCGGGGGCGGGCACATGGGAGGAGGAGTACTTATCCGATATTAAACATTCCATTTATCACACGGTGTGTATGGAAACATTGTTCACACATTATTATACAGCGGCCGCCATGTTTGTTTTTGTTCGCTGGAGAGCGGAGCGCCGGGTGACGGCAACACTCACCGACAATTCTTCTGCTTCTTCTCTATGTGCAGCAAAGAGGTTGAGGGCTGTGACAATCCCACCGTTGGGTCCCAGATTGTATCTGAGGAAATAGCTGAGGAAACAGAACTATGAAGACTGCCACACACATCCCGGGGACCCCTCTTCTTCCAGGACCCTTCTCCTCCCGGGGACCCCTCTTCCAGGGCCCTTCTCCTCCCGGGGACCCCTCTTCCAGGGCCCTTCTCCTCCCGGGGACCCCTCTTCCAGGGCCCTTCTCCTCCCGGGGACCCCTCTTCCAGGGCCCTTCTCCTCCCGGGGACCCCTCTTCCAGGGCCCTTCTCCTCCCGGGGACCCCTCTTCCAGGGCCCTTCTCCTCCCGGGGACCCCTCTTCCAGGGCCCTTCTCCTCCCGGGGACCCCTCTTCCAGGGCCCTTCTCCTCCCGGGGACCCCTCTTCCAGGGCCCTTCTCCTCCCGGGGACCCCTCTTCCAGGGCCCTTCTCCTCCCGGGGACCCCTCTTCCAGGGCCCTTCTCCTCCCGGGGACCCCTCTTCCAGGGCCCTTCTCCTCCCGGGGACCCCTCTTCCAGGGCCCTTCTCCTCCCGGGGACCCCTCTTCCAGGGCCCTTCTCCTCCCGGGGACCCCTCTTCCAGGGCCCTTCTCCTCCCGGGGACCCCTCTTCCAGGGCCCTTCTCCTCCCGGGGACCCCTCTTCCAGGGCCCTTCTCCTCCCGGGGACCCCTCTTCCAGGGCCCTTCTCCTCCCGGGGACCCCTCTTCCAGGGCCCTTCTCCTCCCGGGGACCCCTCTTCCAGGGCCCTTCTCCTCCCGGGGACCCCTCTTCCAGGACCCTTCTCCTCCCGGGGACCCCTCTTCCAGGGCCCTTCTCCTCCCGGGGACCCCTCTTCCAGGGCCCTTCTCCTCCCGGGGACCCCTCTTCCAGGGCCCTTCTCCTCCCGGGGACCCCTCTTCCAGGGCCCTTCTCCTCCCGGGGACCCCTCTTCCAGGGCCCTTCTCCTCCCGGGGACCCCTCTTCCAGGGCCCTTCTCCTCCCGGGGACCCCTCTTCCAGGGCCCTTCTCCTCCCGGGGACCCCTCTTCCAGGGCCCTTCTCCTCCCGGGGACCCCTCTTCCAGGGCCCTTCTCCTCCCGGGGACCCCTCTTCCAGGGCCCTTCTCCTCCCGGGGACCCCTCTTCCAGGGCCCTTCTCCTCCCGGGGACCCCTCTTCCAGGGCCCTTCTCCTCCCGGGGACCCCTCTTCTTCCAGGACCCTTCTCCTCCCGGGGACCCCTCTCCCAGGGCCCCTCTCGGCCTGAGACCTGGTGTCAGTACAATTTTGCTCGATGAACACAGGGAAGAGGTCTATACAAGGCAAAGTGTTATGCCCCGCCCCCTCCATCCCCCATATGATGTACACGTGGGGTGGAGGATACTGCTTCATCACCTCCTTGTAGTTCACCGTGTCCCGGATATCTGCAAGAGAGACAGACGGATCAGCCCGACATTTCCATACTGCGAACCCCGAGACATATAGATACAACCTGTATAGGGGTCTATAGGTACCAATGTTGGGGGGGAAGTATACCCTATATAGGGATCTATGGGTACCGATGGCGGGGGAGGGGAGTATACACCATATAGAAGTCTATGGGTACCGATGTTGGCGGGGAGTATACACCGTATAGGGGTCTATAGGTACCGACGTTGGGGGGAGGGGCGTATACACCGTATAGGAGTCTATAGGTACCGATGGTGGGGGAGGGGAGTATACACCATATAGGAGTCTATGGGTACCGATGTTGGCGGGGAGTATAAACCGTATAGGGGTCTATAGGTACCAATGTTGGCGGGGGAGGGGAGTATACACCATATACGATTCTATGGGTACCGATGTTGGTGGGGGAGGGGAGTATAAACCGTATAGGGGTCTATAAGTACCAATGTTGGTGAGGGAGGGGAGTATACACCCTATAGGAGTCTATAGGTACCGATGTTGGCGGGGGAGGGGAGTATACACCATATAGGAGTCTATGGGTACCGATGTTGGCGGGGGAATGGAGTGTACACCGTATAGGGGTCTATAGGTACCGATGTTGGCGGGGGAGGGGAGTATACACCATATATGGGTCTATAGGTACCGATGTCGGTGAGGGAGGGGAGTGTACACCGTATAGGGGTCTATAGGTACCTATGTTGGCGGGGGAGGGGAGTGTACACCGTATAGGGGTCTATAGGTACCGATGTTGGCGGGGGAGGGGAGTGTACACCGTATACGATTCTATGGGTACCGATGTTGGCGGGGGAGGGGAGTATACACCATATATGGGTCTATAGGTACCGATGTAGGTGGGGGAGGGGAGTGTACACCGTATAGGGGTCTATAGGTACCGATGTTGGCGGGGGAGGGGAGTGTACACCTTATACGATTCTATGGGTACCGATGTTGGCGGGGGAGGGGAGTATACACCGTATAGGAGTCCATAGGTACCGATGTTGGTGGGGGAGGGGAGTATACACCGTATAGGGGTCTATGGGTACCGATGTTGGCCGGGAAGGGGATCTCGTGGACGGCCGGGTCCAGGTTGATGATGTACGGCGGGGAGTTCTTCTCATGGAGATACGATGTCAGTCTCTGTAGGAGAAGAGGAGACATTTCAGCAGTGTGTGGACCCCAAATATCCTGTCCCCACCCCCAGATCAGCCAATTCTCACACACCAACAGTCCTATATCCTCCAGTCTGCCCAGGGAATGACCCCAAAAATCCAGAGAAGGATGTGACAGGAAACCCCCCAGCAGGGACACAGACAGAAATGAAAGTCTGAGACGGGGGGGGGGGGTTTCTAAAAAGCATAAAACCATTTACATTGAGAGGTTCTCTTTAATGGTGGACAAAGCAGCTGCACATGCTCACCTTCACTCCACTACCCAGCCCGGTACTTCTGGGTACACTGATCATGCGACTCTCCCCTGATTGGCCCAGAGCTGTCACATGGGGAGGTGGAGAGTCTTCAGGAAACATGGGGACCACATGGCCCCCAACTAGGTCATCACAGGACCCCCTAGAATGGAAACACAGGGCCCCTAACTGGGTTGTCACAGGACCCCCTAATACAGGACACCAGGGTCCCCTCCCCGGTACAGGTCCCCCAGCCGGGTCTTCACATAGAAGGATGTCATCCTATGATGGAGCAGTGCTGACACACACGTGACATATACAGAATACACCCTCCCCCTTCATTACACAGGCAGAACCGACCCCCCCATCCTCGCACACACACCTGGGTGAAGGTGGTCTTCCCGGACCCCGCCATCCCCAGAACGATCATACACAGCGGAGAACCACCATCCTCTCCTCCACCCTCTGCCATATTGCTCCTCCAATGACCCGCCACTTCCGCCTCTCACACAGCTTTATTTAGAACAGAGAGAATCACCGAAGGATGAGAGATGGGCGGATACCTACAGGAGGCCCCGCCCCCGGAGCGTCTAGAATGGCAGTACTACAGCTTCGTAGGCGGATCTCATTGGGCGGGGCTTTGTGGAATCTGCTCTGTGATAGGTGTGTGGGGGGAAAGAGGGCGGGCTATATAAGATTAGCATATAAAGATGAGTGCTCCGGACTTCGGGTAGTTGTAGCCTACAGATCCAGATGTAGAAGGAGGAGAAATGTATACAATGCTCAGCATGTCTGTCAGTGTCCTAAGAGGGACTACAACACCTAGCATACCCTATCACTGCCCTTAGAGGGACTACAATATCCATTATGCCCTATCACTGCCCTTAGGGGGACTACAACACCCAGCATTCCCTATCACTGCCCTTAGAGGGACTATAACACCCAGCATGGCCTGTCACTGCCCTCAAGAGAAACTCCAACTTCCCTATACCCTGGTACCATATGTAGAGAAACTACAACTCCCAGCTTGTCCTATAACTGGCTGCCCCTAGAGGCACCAGAACTCTCAAATTGTCCTGCCAAGGGTCCAATAGGGACTACAACTCCTAACATGCCCTACCACTGCCCCAAAGGGACTACAACAACCCGTGTGCACTATTGTTCCATCTAGAAGGACTATAACTCTCATTGTGCCTTAATAGTGTTTGTAGAGGGATTACAACTCCCAGCATGTCTTATTACTGTCCCTAGAGGATCTACAACTCCTAACATGTCCTGTTATTATCTATAAAGAGACTACAACTCCCAGCGTGCCTTGCTACTGTGTCCAGAGGGACTAAAACTCCCAACATGCCTTGTTACTTCCCCTAACCAGAATACTTCCATTGATGTACATTCCGCAGTCACAATATCTCCTGATAAGTTTCCACTCACCGCATAGTTCGGGGCGTTCCTTTAAGGAAAAATTACTGTAAAGTTTGAAAAAGAAAAAGTTTTATTTACATTATGTTGCAATACATTTATACCCAGTTTTTTGGGTAAAATATAAAAGTCGGGGTCACGTCGGGTAAATAGACACCAAACACGTCAAGCTTTAAAATTGCGCGCGCCCGGCGAAACCGCAAAAAACTACCATACCCAAAATTTCCCACAGGCGACGCTTTAAAAGCTTTTACCGCTCATCAGTTTCGTGTTATCGGTGATTGACGGGCCGAGAATTATTGCTCGCACTGCGACGTTCACGGCGATATGTAACATGTGCGGCGTCATGGGCGCGATCGTCGTTTTCTTACGGAAGCGCACCCGACGCATGTTTGCACGCGTGTATGTAGGGGTGGGGACTTTAAACCATTTTTTTCAAAATTCTTTTTCATGTGTGACTTAATTTTTTTTCCCTATTTTTCACTTAACTTTATTGCTATCACGTAGGGGGCTAAGAAACACCCCCCCCTATGTGATCGCAAAGAGGATGTGACAGGTCCTCTTTATGGAGACATCAGGGGTCTCCAAGACCATTAATGTCACCTAGGGACCCCCCCAGAGAGGTCTGCTTCATCAGCTTCTGATAGAGATGGGTAGCTCATGAGTGATCCGGATCTATTGAGCGGCTCCCTCACAAGAATGAAAGAGCGGTGGCTCAGTAAAAATGAGCGCCGATTCTTCTGGTCTGTGCTCTGCTGGGACTTGTAGTCCCGCACAGCTGGGGGTATTCTGCATTGCTGGATGATGATTATAAAGCAATGCAGAATAGCACCAACTATGTAGGACTACAAGTCCCAGCAATGCATTATAGTGGTGGTGGGAATGCTGGGGGTATTCTGCATAACAGACAAGCAATGGTTTTACTTTAAAAATAACTCCCGTTCCCTCCCTCAAACTACACCCCCGTCTCATTTCCTCTCCTACTATAGTAAAGAGAGCTGTTTAGTGAGCCGTGAGCCGTTTAAAAGATCCGGATCTTTTCAGTGAGCGATCCGATGAGGAGCGCTCATGCAGATGAACCGTTTTGCCCGTCTCTAGCTTCTGAAGCTGGAGAGTGACACGAGAATGCGGAAGTGATGTAATATACAGCGGAGAGGGGACCGGAGGGAGATCGTGTACCCATCTCCCTCTGATCCCCCGTGACAGAGCCACCATGCTGGTCCCGGGCACAGCCGAGCCCGGGACCAACGGGAGGGGGAGGGGCGGCGCTCCGATCGGCACCCCATACAAGCGATCCGCTAGCTCTATAGCTTGTATGTCAACAGGCATTGCTGACTGTTTTAAAAACTTTGGTCGTTTCCCGAGTATTTTGCGGTGCACCCGAGTGGGCGGGGCTAACAGTTCATACACACGGCCTGTTACCTCCAGCAAGCTCCCTGTCGGCCATTTTTATCGCACAGCGGCCGGCCGGGAGGCGGTTAAAGTCAAAATCTTTTTAATCTATTCCAAATGCTGATGAAATCACTTACAACGGGCTTGATGTGGAAAAGCTTTAGAATCAGCCGTTCCCCTGAGCACCGGCCCTGAAATCCTGTCCTAGGGTGGCTCCTTTCCCTTGCGGGGTCCTATGGGGCCGCCCTCGTGTGTGTGCTAATACGCTGTATGTGTCTCCAAAAACACAGCCAGACAAGACACCCCCCTCCCCCTCTCCTTCCTCCATTGTTCAAGTTAGTAGATGTAGAGTGGCTGCAGCTTGCTCTGTCTTTGTGATCTTGTACTGGACAGGAGGTTCAGGGAAGCCGAGCTGAGCGAGTCGGAGCTGTTCAGAAACATGATGACTGGAAGTGCTTTGGAAAAAAATGTAAAGCAACTCTTTGCTGAGGAATGTGTGTGAGATTTATCCGGATTCATCATTGCAATAAAGTTTGAGAGCTTAATACTACTGTAAGTGCTGGACAGGAATAGGGCTCTATAGGGGCCCTAGGGTCAGGTACTGGGCAGGGATAGGGCTCTATAGGGGCCCCTAGGGTCAGGTGCTGGGCAGGAATAGGGCTCTAAAAGGGCCCTAGGGTCAGGTGCTGGGCAGGAATAGGGCTCTATAGGGGCCCCAGGGTCAGGTGCTGGGCAGGAATAGGGCTCTATAGGGGCCCTAGGGTCAGGTGCTGGCTAGGAATAGGGCTCTATAGGGGCCCCTAGGGTCAGGTGCTGGGCAGGAATAGGGCTCTATAGGGGGCCCCAGGGTCAGGTACTGGGCAGGAATAGGGCTCTAAAGGGGCCCCACGGTCAGGTGCTGGGCAGGAATAGGGCTCTATAGGGGCCCCAGGGTCAGGTGCTGGCTAGGAATAGGGCTCTATAGGGGCCCCTAGGTGCTGGGCAGGAATAGGGCTCTATAGGGGCCCCTAGCGTCAGGTGCTGGACAGGAATAGGGCTCTATAAGGGCCCCCAGGGTCAGGTGCTGGGCAGGAATAGGGCTCTATAGGGGCCCCAGGGTCAGGTGCTGGCTAGGAATAGGGCTCTATAGGGGCCCCTAGGTGCTGGGCAGGAATAGGGCTCTATAGGGGCCCCTAGCGTCAGGTGCTGGACAGGAATAGGGCTCTATAAGGGCCCCTAGGGTCAGGTGCTGGGCAGGAATAGGGCTCTATAGGGGCCCTAGGGTCAGGTGCTGGCTAGGAATAGGGCTCTATAGGGGCCCCTAGGTGCTGGGCAGGAATAGGGCTCTATAGGGGCCCCTAGGGTCAGGTGCTGGGCAGGAAAAGGGCTCTATAAGGGCCCCTAGGGTCAGGTGCTGGGCAGGAATAGGGCTCTATAGGGGCCCCTAGGGTCAGGTGCTGGGCAGGAATAGGGCTCTATAGGGGCCCCAGGGTCAGGTGCTGGGCAGGAATAGGGCTCTATAGGGGCCCTAGGGTCAGGTGCTGGCTAGGAATAGGGCTCTATAGGGGCCCCTAGGGTCAGGTGCTGGGCAGGAATAGGGCTCTATAGGGGGCCCCAGGGTCAGGTACTGGGCAGGAATAGGGCTCTAAAGGGGCCTCACGGTCAGGTGCTGGGCAGGAATAGGGCTCTATAGGGGCCCCAGGGTCAGGTGCTGGCTAGGAATAGGGCTCTATAGGGGCCCCTAGGTGCTGGGCAGGAATAGGGCTCTATAGGGGCCCCTAGCGTCAGGTGCTGGACAGGAATAGGGCTCTATAAGGGCCCCTAGGGTCAGGTGCTGGGCAGGAATAGGGCTCTATAGGGGCCCCAGGGTCAGGTGCTGGGCAGGAATAGGGCTCTATAGGGGCCCCTAGGGTCAGGTGCTGGGCAGGAATAGGGCTCTAAAAGGGCCCTAGGGTCAGGTGCTGGGCAGGAATAGGGCTCTATAGGGGCCCCAGGGTCAGGTGCTGGGCAGGAATAGGGCTCTATAGGGGCCCCTAGGGTCAGGTGCTGGGCAGGAATAGGGCTCTAAAAGGGCCCTAGGGTCAGGTGCTGGGCAGGAATAAGGCTCTATAGGGGCCCCAGGGTCAGGTGCTGGGCAGGAATAGGGCTCTATAGGGGCCCCTAGGGTCAGGTGCTGGGCAGGAATAGGGCTCTAAAAGGGCCCTAGGGTCAGGTGCTGGGCAGGAATAAGGCTCTATAGGGGCCCCAGGGTCAGGTGCTGGGCAGGAATAGGGCTCTATAGGGGCCCCTAGGGTCAGGTGCTGGACAGGAATAGGGCTCTAAAAGGGCCCTAGGGTCAGGTGCTGGGCAGGAATAGGGCTCAATAGGGGCCCCTAGGGTCAGGTGCTGGGCAGGAATAGGGCTCTATAGGGGCCCCTAGGGTCAGGTGCTGGGCAGGAATAGGGCTTTATAGGGGCCCCCAGGGTCAGGTGCTGGGCAGGAATAAGGCTCTATAGGGGCCCCTAGGGTCAGGTGCTGGGCAGGAATAGGGCTCTATAAGGGCCCCTAGGGTCAGGTACTGGGCAGTAATAGGGCTCTATAAGTGCCCCTAGGGTCAGGTACTGGGCAGTAATAGGGCTCTATAAGGGCCCCTAGGGTCAGGTGCTGGGCAGGAATAGGGCTGTATAAGGGCCCCTAGGGTCAGGTGCTGGGGAGGAATAGGGCTCTATAGGGGCCCCTAGGGTCAGGTACTGGGCGGGAATGGTGTTATATAGGGATCTCCTGGACAGGAATAGGGCTCTATAAGTCACCTGGGTACTAGGCAGTAATGGAGCTCTATAGGATCTTGCAGTACGAACAGGGCTCTGGAAGAACAGACCGGAAGTGGGTGGTGTGTGCAGTCACTCAGCCTCCCTGTGCACTGTGTGGGAGGTGAGTGATGTCACAGTAAGTGACACACATCGGTCTCTTCGCCTAACACAAAAAGAATGAATGAACTGTGTCCCCTGGTGGAGAGTTCCCGCAGGTCAGGGCAGGATGCCCACAGAAAATATGGCCGCCCCGGAAATGTGCAAAAGTCACGTGGTGATAGGCTCGTTTCCGACTTAGGGAGAGTGATGAAAGGGGGCGGGGCCGGTTATTGCTGCACTTCCGGGATCCTCCGACACACAGCGCCACAGGGAGGAGGAGGGTCACCTACCGGCTGTGTGTGAGTACCGACCTCTCCATAGATATACCCGGGACACTGACCTGTACTGACACCTACCGGTCCATAGATATACCCGGGACACCTACCTGTCCATAGATATACCCGGGACACTGACCTGTACTGACACCTACCTGTCCATAGATATCCCGACCTGGACTGACACCGACCTGTCCATAGATATACCAGGGACACCGACCTGTACTGACACCTACCTGTCCATAGATATACCGACCTGTACTGACACCGACCTGTCCATAGATATACCAGGGACACCTAACTGTACTGACACCGACCGGTCCATAGATATAGCCGGGACACCTACCTGTACTGACACCTACCTGTCCATAGATATACCCGGGACACCGACCTGTCCATAGATACACCCGGGGCACCGACCTGTACTGACACCTACCTGTCCATAGATATAGCCGGGACACCTACCTGTCCGAAGATATAGCCGGGACACCTACCTGTCCATAGATATAGCCGGGACACCTACCTGTCCGAAGATATAGCCGGTCGGTGCGTCCTGTGTGTGCTCTGTGTGGTGTTATGATAATCAGATTACTGTAGTCCGGGGTCAGAGGTCACATCCTCCCCAGATTACAGACGTCTTTATCCTCCAGACTGTCCTCAGCTCAGGATAGACGGCAGGTGACGGCCCAGCTCCTCGCTGTGACCCGCTCCGGATTCATCACCCGTCCTCAGCTCAGGATAGACGGCAGGTGACGGCCCAGCTCCTCGCTGTGACCCGCTCCGGATTCATCACTCGTCCTCAGCTCAGGATAGACGGCAGGTGACGGCCCAGCTCCTCGCTGTGACCCGCTCCGGATTCATCACTCGTCCTCAGCTCAGGATAGACGGCAGGTGACGGCCCAGCTCCTTGCTGTGACCTGCTCTCCTCTTCTAACGAGCGCTCTGCCAATGAGGTGACATCACTGATCATGTGACCTCCATTGATCTTCATCCCCGGCGTGGTGACCCCCCTTTCATGTCACAGTGCCGGTGGTTGTCCTTTATATTTTGGGCTGCGTCCGTCCACTTCCTGCGCTCTGCCTCAGTACTCCTCTCTAGACCTGATAGCAGTGGGCGGGCTCTTGGGAGGAGTTATGCAAATGTCAGGGTGTCGGCCTGGAGTGATGTCATCTTCCTCCTCCGATGTCTCCAGCTTATCTCGGGGTCATAGATCAGTGCGGGGGTTGTAAATTCTCACGGGGGCCCTTTGTACTTCCTGTTTGCGCTGCGCGGTGATCTCCCTCATATACATGGACTTTGTGACATGTAGAGGCGCGCAGAGGACGGGACGGGGGAGACGGCGGAACGCACTGCGCTCCGGACGCATTTATTGGTAAGCGACATTCCCCCCC